CATTGGAGAGTTGTTTGATGGTGGAGGAAGTACATCCTTTGATGGGATAAGGCTTCGAGATCCTTTTCCCTCAGTTACCATATTTATAAATTGTGCTGACAGCACATGGAAGTGCCTGCAAAATAATGTCTATTTTCTCCAAAGTTTGTGGTTCACTGCACAGAAATGGGTCAATTCAAGAATCAAGGGGTTTCTTAACTACATAGAAAGAGTCTTGGAAGGACTCAATAAATCCAGTTTTTTTCTTTATATATTCTCTTCTATTTCATTTAATGCTATGAAGTTAGATTGACAGTCCAGCTTGCAATTCACTGGGAAAGTTACTTGGTCACTCTGAGCCTCCAATTTGTAAAGCAGAATTCTGTAGAAACTTGAGGTTTCTACAAGGGCCTATACAATTCAAAGCACATATCTTTGTATACTTTTCCCAAAGAAGTGGAATGGTCAGTTGGTCACCTACTCACTGATACTTCAAGAAGATGTGTACTTCAAGAAGATTTCAATTGACACACTCTTCCAGGAGCTACTTCAGGGTAGGGATTCACAGTAACTTGTTTGAGGGTTCATTATAGGAATCCTGATATATTTTATACCAGAAGACAATCTATCCTACAACGACAACTAGCAAAGTAGAGATTTTAGCTCACACTTAAAAAAGTGGATTGGCATTCCAAAATTGACTAGGTAAAAAAAGCCAATTTATTCAAGATGAACAATTTTGGTCAATAAAGATTGGTAAACTTCTCCAATTTTTCTTCTCTTAAGTGAGAGATTCCTCCCCTCTCACTGGAATATTTGATTTTATCCAGGATTAAAAAGGCAGCTATGCCCTAATGTTCATTCAATTTTAGGATGACAACAAAGTTTTCATGAATATGAAATGCTAGTTACACAAATATGAAATGAATCTGTGATGAGGATCCCGAGTACATGATAAAATAGTCCCAAAAGGCATAGCATCTGAGATCTTAGCTTCCTTTCTGGAATATCAGCAAACAGTTCAAAATTAATGTAGCACGCCATGTAATTTGCCATGTTGCTACACTAGCCTGATCATTTTCCCTCATTATATAAAATCTAATTAGTTAAAGGGCAATTCAATGGAACTTTTATTTGGGGGGATTTAGAGGTATTAAAACAAAGGTGGAGGAATCAAACAGACGCTGCAGCTCTCTGAAGAGAATGAACATGATTATTAATAACCCTCGGGTGGGTAAATGATTAACCTTGTCATTTTCCTTCACACCATTCAAGTTTCTACAACAAATCAGCACTGCACAGAAATATTTGGATGCTGAATGGCAAACAACTTTTACAAGGTCTCCAACTGGCATCAAATGTTCTCAAGTATGAAAACATCTCTAGGCTTTCTCAACAGGCTGATGGATCCCTGCAGGTAGCATTTCCCTTGTTTAATAGTCCTGCCAATTAAATCAAATTAGAGATGAATTTTTAACTCTGTGATGAAAGCAATGCTCATTATGAAAGAAAACAGGAAAATGAGATATTTCCCTTAAGTGAATTGTTATTTCAATTTTAATAATTGGGGCATGGGGGAAGGGGAATGCCAAACAGCTCCATCACTGGTATGCTTGATACACCAACTTGTCAATAAGATGAAAGTTGTTTATGAGAGTAATCTGTAGTGAGGGATGCAAACCAGTCATATCCCTATTTTGTCTTTGTGGATTTCCTCTGGTGCTTATTTCAGAATTCCAAGATTTTAAAATGGATTTTCCTGATATCATATGTCATTCTCTGGAGGATATAACTTTCACATCTGACTCATCTGTCATCTCCCTTGTAGGACATAATAATCACCCCCGCAAAGCTACTAAACCTTAGGACAGTTCTTGCCAGCCTAATTATACTCTTTGTAATATATTGTTTAGCATGATTAGTCTTTGGACTGCTGGACTGAGAATTAGAAAATGCACTTTAGAAGGTAATGATTAGGTTCTCACTATAAACAAAAACACCCACAGTAAAGCATCTATTAATCTGTATCATCAGCATCAACAAATGTTCACTTATATAAAATTGTGAATTATTATATGGATATCTCATATAAAGTGAGACCTGAGTGAATTTCTCTCAAATGAGATTATATAGAAACAATAGTTACAAGGCTCAACTGGCTACAGATCAATTTTGGGATTCATTAATTGCTGACAATACCACGAGTATTTTTTTTTCAGCCATGGGTCATAGAACATTGAAATGACTAGGGTTTAGATCAAGTGCTTTGCAGATGTTTGAGGACCCGGTTTCCTAGTAGATTGACAGCAACAGGTACAAATGACCTTAATGGGAAATTGGTTTTCTTAAATATTCTTAGCAGATGATCGGAAAGGATAGCCACTCTGTCCATGTATTTGAATCTTAACGCTGAAATTGACAATATGAGATCTATACTGAAGTCTATTAGAGCTAAATCCTCCAGCCATTGTAAAATAATAGCATATGCATGTAAACTTATGGTTACATACATCAATAGTCTACATCGATAATATACATCATTTATTTTCTATGAAAACCACTTTGATGATCAGACCCTCTTGGGTGTTTCATCTGTTACAGTGGGATCTTCCTAGGTAGCTGTTTGGATTGTATTCATTGATTCTTTCTTTATAGTGAAGAGAAAAGCCCCGAGAAATGCTCAGACTTAGCTAAATATCCAAGCAGTTTCCTTGTCTCTGTTTTGTACCTTGAAGCTATGTACCTGTACTCTCTGAATCTTCTAGGCCTGTCAATGAATCACTTACATGTGAATTCTTGCTCTGTGGAGTGGAAAGGAATTCACTAGTACACACAACAGGCACCATATAAGAACTGCAAAGAAGGAACTTGCTAATGCCATTAAACACACCTGGAAAATACCATCCTGGTTGATGGTGTTATCGTGACTCTCTTTACTTTCAAAGCCAGGCAACAGGCAAGCTAGTCCTTTGTGATACTTGGTAAACCCTGAAAGCTCCTTCATCTTGCTGATCAGAAAAAAACACAAAAACAAAAACAAAAACAAAACAAACAAAACAAAAAAATCCCAAAACACCCATTGTGCTTTAAGATGAAGAGCCAGAGGCATTCAAACTGTAGAATCTAATTTTGAGTTGTAGATTTATTTTTCCATGTATATTCATGGTAAAATTTTCTCAGGTTCCTGATAATTAAGATTAGTACATTTTCCAAGGGCACAACACAGCATCCTTTCAGGTCACCACTGATTTCAAAAGGTAACTGTGCAAAACAAAATTGGAATTTCCTGATTCAATGCATAAAAGGTCAACATCTGCTGATGCTTAGATGGGGGGTGGGGTGAAGGCGGCCAGATGAGATGTGGAGTGAGCAGATACAGTCAGAGGTCCATGCAACACACATCTGCTTCTCAGAACAGAAACACACGCCAGTACCAAAGAACTACTTTTCCATTCATCCATTTCTGAAACTCTGGACATGCTAGATCATAAGAGCCATTCTGGTTCCTTCTGGTCTAAAATTGCTCAAGAACAGTTGTCAAGGCCTGAAAGGAGCATTTTGAGGTACGTACATCGGCAAAAGCAAGCATTAAAGCAGAAATATTAGATTGCCAGAGCTGAATGTTCTCATTGGCATGGTTGTAACCCCAATACCACGTTTGTAAGATCACAAGGACAGAGCTGCAGTTGTAGATGTGTGTTAAAATGGATGCAAATGCTGCTTCTGAATACAGAGCAGCTGATTTTCATGGTATTCAACATCTCCAATGCTTAACAGATAAGTGCCTTGGCCTGTTCACAAGTTTAAGTACACTGGGCTGATTTAGAAATTAGAAGAGCTGGCCTTGCATGTATAAGAAGTGGCAAATTTCTTTATCCAAATTATCAGAGTAATGCTTTTAGAAGGGTGTTGGGTTTGGCAATGCTTCAAATGCTGTTATTTACACTGTGGACATTATCCCTGCCACAGCTTTTATGGCACAAGCCTTTGATGAGTGACCATCATGGGAAATATTCTTCTTTCCATTTATAGTCCATAACTAAGACTCCCTCAGTATTTTATTTCTAAATCAGTTACTCCGTTTTTGAGCCAAGATTTTTTTGCCATGGACATAAAGGGCATGCTGTAAAAATTGTGTAAAAATTATGCTCTGGAACAGTATTGGGCTGCATGTTTGTAATAAACACTTTCAGCATGGGTAAGACTATACTGATTCAGACAGGAAAAGGAGTTGCAGCCTGAGTCTCTTGGGGTAGCTGGAGATGCTTGGAGCAGGGATGTTGGAAAGAATTATCCAGAGAATAGAAGGAAGGTTTTTCTTCAATTGATTGGATATCTACTAAGAGATTTCTTTAGTAAATTTTAGTCCTATTCTTATACTTTGTATATACACCCCTTTCTTACCAAAGAGAAAACAAAGAACTCTGTAATGAATGGACCACTGTAATTTAGGAGAGAGGAATGGGTGATGGGCAAGCTGATTGTATTTAATTCCTTAGGATGATTAATGTTCATAATCTCTTTCAGGCCTTCACAAAACCTACATTTTAGTGCATTAAAAGATTTCCTCTCAATATTCATGGTATTTTCCTTGAATTTCAATGAACACACCCAAGGCATTTATGGAGATCTCTTCTTATTTTCTCTCAGATACATTAGAAACTCATACTCGATCCTACGGAAAGAGTGCCATCTTTTGTTGGTTATTAAATTTGATTAAACAGAATGGTATATATAGGTATGAAGTGTTTATCTAAGTAATTGATTCTATGTTTGGATGGCTTTTATGAATTCAAAGCCATGAGAAAAACTGGCATTGTATATCTACAGAGGAGCTGTGCACAAGTCACCATTCTATTGGTGTTCCTAGCACCCATAGGTGTGCCTAGAGCCATCACGAAACTTGAATACCCATAGATTATGCTCTATTGTATCAGAAATGGACACAAGAAAAGAGCTCTAAGGGGCTGAACAACAAAGCAAAGCTAGCCTAGATTTGGTTTGGTGATTGTTTTACTTACTACCAATACTGGAAATGCTGGGGATACCTGCAGAGAAAAAACAAAACAATAAAGAAGTGTTAGCTTTTTACCATGTGACATCTTTAATTTATCGTAAAAGTCTTACAAATGTGACACTTGGTAAGAAAGATTATTAGAAATTGCTACAGAAAAACCTACATGACATATGTGTATATGTATTTATACACAAGCGCTGGAACCATTTGTACTTATTCATAAACTTCTCAGCTCATCAGAATTGAAAAATTAATGCCTGCTTTCAATTGGTGGTACAAGGATGTCTGGTGTCACCAGACATTTTGTGCTCATTTACAAAATCAATGGATTAATTCTATGTGTCTCAGAGCAGATGTTGAGCTAGGCTTTTGTTCTGACCACCCTACTGAATAAACCCCATGTGCACCTGTGCAACTATAAGTGCACGTGCAGTAGGGCTCTCTCAATGCCTTATGGGGTGCAAGCATTAACTGCTGAAAAAATCATTTGACAGTTTGTTTGATTAATTCCACATAGTCATCTTTCTTATTCCTCTTTTACCTGTCAGATACGTGGATTAAACTCTGTAATAGAAACTTAATTGAGCAGAATAATTCAAGAATGCATTACATTGTTCATATTGATCATGGATTCACTGATGATTCAGCTTCTCTCATTGATTCACATTTCAGAGTTTGGCCTTATGTGGTAGAAATGTGGACATGCATTTAGTCTGCATTTCTGTTATGAGTCCTACCAAGCACTATAGTGCTTTGACCTACCGCAGAATCTCAGCAGTCAGAACATCTAGGTTCAAAGGATGTCTCCAATTCCTAAATTCTTACTAACTTTGTAGTCTTGGGCAAGTTCCTTATGGTCTCAGTGCTTACTTAGTTTCCTATGTCTCTATTTGTTGTGGCTATTATATAAATTGATAGGTGGAAATCATGAAGGCTGTTATTTCATAAGTAATATTCTCACAACAGTTACTCTTCCTGTCTTAGTTTACTCCTAGAACAGCTCTGTGATAGATGTTGCTGATTAAATACTAGAGATTTACCTCTTGACACCATGCTTATGGTTGCTATATTGATGACAATGAGATGGGAATCCAGCAGTCCTCTGTGAGGATTCTGCGTTGGTACTATTTACTAGTTAGGTGATTTTTGGCTACCTCAAGCCCCATCTACAAAGGGGCCTATCATATCTACTTCAGTGGGTTGCTGTGAGGACTGAACAAGATAAGCCTGAAGCATGCTTAACATACAGTATGCATCCAGTACGCAAGAGCTGTTTGTTAATGAGTTGGTCAGACATGTTCTTCACAGGCAGGAACTGTAAAAATTGTTAAGCTTCTAGTTTAACACTGATCTTCAAGTGACTGCCCTCTGCTTAACCGAACTCGTCACTGTTCCTTTCTTTGAGACATCTAGCTTTGTAGCTTTTTAAATAAAGTTTAATTTTCTGTGTCCATGTGAGAAAGGGGAGAATAAGGGATAAAGGATATTTATGTTGTATTGAAAACACTGGAAAGAGGAAAGATTGAATCTCCCTTTAGTCTGCACATGTGGAGGGCAGAATTCAATGTTAGGTGTCTTCCTCTAGTTCTTCATATCTTATTTTTTTTTAAGACAGGGTTTCTCACTCAGCTTGAATCTAACAGTTTGGCTCGGAAGGTTTGCCAATGAGCCTGTTTAATCTGGCTATCTTGTCACTGTCCTCAGTACTAGGTTTTACAAGCATGTGCCACCAGACAAGTCTTTTGTGTGGTACTGGGGATTTGAACTCACAAGGTTGTGTTTGAGCAAGTACCTTACCCACTGAGCCATGTCCTTAGTCCCTAAATGCTTTTAGTTTAAGATTCTTCAGCTTAATTGCTGATCTCTATTCAATCAACATTGGAAAACTAAATTTCCATATTTCAACTCTCTTCTATGAACTGAATTTTAAGATAAATGTGATTTCTGCAATGAACAGCTAGACTCCAAGCCCAACACTTGAGTCAACTGTCTTTACTGCAGTGTGACATTGCCTTGATACTGAATCTTTTTTTTTCCTTCATTTTTGCAAATTCCCCACTGGGCGAGGTGCGATGGCAGCATCATAATTTCAGTATCAATTGCAGAGGCTCAGAGTTTCCTCATGATTGAAAACTCTTCTCTCATGCAAGGCACTGCTTGCCTGTTGCAATCCATCAAAGAGAATGGAAGTTAAGATAGCAGGGAGAGACTCTTCATGTGTTTTCAAACTTCCACGGAGGCAGAGGGTCATGCATAAATGCAAGGTGAACTGCTCAGGGAGCTCCACCAGACACAATAATAAACAAGCTTGCATGGCAGCTGACTGCAGCGCTTGCCGCTGTAGAACGCTTCAGAAAGATGCAAAAGTGTTTCTGTTCCTCTGGGGCCTTGAGCACAGGAGAGCACAGTTCATTCCAAGTGCACACACGGTCCCAACCATGACTATTCTGAGATTCTATTTTCCTCATGAAGATGCTATTACCTAACACTGGATGCTTAGAATTCAGACTCTTCTTCATTCTGTGCATTGTGGTATTTGTTTTTTGAGGTACTGCCAGATGAGTCACTCTTTATTCCATGTCTGTAAAAATGGTAATTGCTCAGAAAAGATTTTTTAAACTGCTCATTTGAATAAAGAGTTTTGAAATTGAATGTATCTGAGCACAGAGGGATGTCCATTAATTCATTTCAAAATGTTATTTTCTCCTAATGGTTCCTATTTTAATGTCAAAAGTTCCTTGCTTTGGGTTGTCTGTAGACAACTGAAGAACTTAGAAAACCCACTGGATCCACTAGAAAGGCAGTATGTAAGCTGTGAGAAAAGCTTTAACAACTCAAGAAAATGATGCAGGATGAGCTAGAAATGGAAAGGAAGGTGTCTTCAGGCTCCATAAAGCTCAACCAAAGGATCTGATGCCATTCAAAGGCCACTACAGCATTCATGATGGCACGAAGAAGATTGTGCTTGGGAAATAGTCTAGGCACATGTTGGCAGTTTTCTTTTCTTTCTTTTTATTTTTGTTTTCTTTTTCTTTGTTTGTTCCATGTAAACTGATAACTTTTGCCTAAAGAACATTTTGACCTTTGAAACTGAGCTCTTTAGTGTTGTTTTCCCTTCTTTCTCCATACACTTGATGTTGGCTGGTCTTGTCACAGTCAGCTCTTTGTACAGACTTCCAGGATGGATTTTTCCTTTCTGTGATTCAGCTGAGTATCTCTGAGAGCACCGTGGCAGCAAGACCACTTCCTTTCTCTTTTTTGTGTCTCTCATATTGTTTTGAGACAAAGTATTATACAGTGAAGTTTCACTAAGTACCAATGTATTGGTTCTGGGGATTGGACATGGGGTTTCACACATGCTTGGTAAGTGCTTGCCACAGGGATGTATTTACAGTCCTATTTGTACTTTATGCTTGTGATAAGGTCTCATTAAGTTTCTCAGTCTACCCTACAACCCTCTCCATAATTCAGGAGGACCTTTATGCCTCCGCCTTCCAAATGGCTGGGATTAAAGTTCAGATAGGAAGCCTTAAATGTAGACTTAAGAAGTCTTAAATCTCAGATTCCTTTCACTATTTAAATTAAAAAGTCTTAAAGGACAAATTCCTGTCACTATTTTGCCATCCATGAACTTACTGGGTCAAGCCAAACTTGATATTTAACCAGAGAATTTGTCTGGCATTGAATATCTGACCTATTTTCTTTCTAGTCTTTTGCTCAACTCTTTTCTTTTAATTCCTGTTTTGATGCATTTATGTATATATTATCTTCCTAAATTATCAATGGACAAATACAGGTTTTGTAGAACTTACAGGACAGAAAATTGAAGAATTCTCTTTAAGAATAAACATATAACCTTAAGGTTTAAAGCTAGATATGAAATTGAACTTTTTTTTATTTAGAAGGAAGTAAAGGGCGGGCCAGAAATCTATCTTTGGAACAACCTCGAAGATACTTCAGAAACAAACAGATGTAATACATAATAAAAATACATTAATAAAAAGGGGGAGAGGAGACAACATAAGCTAATTCTTGAAAAGTTGGTAAAAGTTTGAGATCTTAAAGGGACTTATGATATCATCTATTCAGCCTCTCATTTCATAGACTGACATAAGGAAGTGCAGGCACCCAAGCTGACCCCGTTATATGCAATCCTGGAGCCTGTGAGTCCCAATCCCTGTCTGAGCATTGTAAACTCATCCTGGGAGAGGCAAACATAGGTGTGGGTGATCTCTAGTGAGAGTCTCTGCAGTAGAGAGGATGATTTCAGCACTGATGCTTCTAGTATTAAAATGTCACATCACTAAAGAAATGCACACAACTAAACCAAAGAGGCATTGTGTCACCAAGTGCAGCAAGAGAAAGAAGGCAAGAAGATGTCAGCAATTGTTTACTCCTTTCTGTTGCCACATATATTTTAATATTCATTATAGTGAAATTCTACTGAGGACAGAGACAAGAACATACATAATAGAATGTTATAACATGGTACTTTCTTCATTTTTTTGGCTAGCTCTTCCTACATCAGACCAATAGCCAAAGGGCTTTTACATGCTAAGCTTACAAAAGTCAATATGGCAGATATCTAAAAAATAAATACCCAACCTGCAGAAGCAGATTTAGGTAGTGCTTAAGGTATAAATCTTTTGAGAATCAATGATAGACAGGTTTGCAACTTTCTGTCATGAAGGAGGCAACATGATAAGGATTCAGTGTAGTTTAGAATGCAAGAAAAAAAATGACCACTGTTGGGATGGATAGTTTAGAAAACCCATCAAGTAGGTGAGTAGATCACCTTCAGTCAGACTGAAGCCATTGGGGAACACTTAGTCCTAAAGAATCATGAATAAGAGGTCAGGAATGGTAAGAAATTATTTTGCAGACTCATTCATATTCCAGAGGAATTATTTAAGGATCTTGCAGTCTGTATCACTATTCCAAGCTGTTGTTAGCAGGTGTGGTATGTTGTTTCCAAAGGACTTGAAAGTGAGGGTACTGAAGTTGCCTTCACAAAATGACACTATAGAATCC